TTAATAAATTATAGCCTATAACTTTCCGAGATACCCTCTCTTTATATTGGTGAAAACTGTGCGGAAATAGGTACCTCCAGTAGATTCTGAGGTTAGCCCGACACAAACACAAATTTTGATTTATAATGTGTATACGAGATATAGACTATTTTTATTTGAGTCTGAATATCCTAATCTTTATATATATAATTCTTCTGTGAGTGTGTATGTCACTGAACTTCTCTCAAATGACTGGACCGATTTTGATGAAATTTTTTGTGTGGGTTCAAGGGGATCTGGGAATGGTTTAGATTCACAATTTTGTCCGCTGGACAATGTTTTTTTAATTAATTTTTAATTTATTAGTAGTTGTTGATTTTGGAATGTTTTACATTGGATCTGTCAGAAGGCGCTACCATCGCAGTGTAGACAGGACAACGTCTGTCGGGTCCGCTAGTATATACAGAATATTTTAAAGTATTCTTCGCGATATTATTTACAAAGTCAATGATTGGTCTCGTCAGTAGCGCGGGGACGAGGGCTTTATAAAACATGCAAACGAATTTCATTGACACGACGAATTTGATGCGCACTTTCGTTTGAATTTCGCTTTAAATCATTTTAGTTACATCTGATATGGTTTAGAGGTTATTATGGAGATTCATACATACGTGATGTGGGAGAACGTTTTATTTTTACAAATGTAATATTAAATTTCCTTATCCGTTTAGCCGTTACACACATAACAAACAGCTTCTAACCAGGAGGTCCAAGGTTCGATTTAGGTTTTTTTTGAAACTAAATATCCTTACATGTCCTTGTCTGGAATGCGCAATCTTACATCATTGTTAATAATTATAAGATTCAGACGATGTTATTTTGATATGCTAGAAGTACAATATTTTAAGATATGAATATCTAATAGGCAAATATGTGTTTTACGTATCGAAATATATTAGATTTGCTTTGCATCGGCTGGCACCGACTTCGAAAATATCTGATTAGGTATCTATTATAAATGAAAACCCTCGTTTTGTTATTTTTTACATTTTAATGCCTGGAAGTCGGTTTTTATTTTTTTTATATCTGTGTTGTTTACAGCTGTTTGTCGTATTAAGTAAAACGTTGAGACTACAACACGTTTGACCTCTTGCAAATATATTGCCGTATATCTGATTCGACCTTAAATGAAGTTTATTGCATCCTTCGTCCTAGGTCGAAAAGCGATGATTGTGTTTTCTCATTGTTATTCTATTATAGACTTTATTCCGTAACCAATAAGAGTTGACTAGCCACCATGAAATGCATATAGGCTACTAATCAAGATGTCAGCGAGGCCAGTAGGCTCTTTTGGCCTTAATCTAAAGACCGGTTGATATATTAGCTCATTGATCGATTTCGGCACAGATTTTTTGTTTTGGTTCAGAGACTATCTAATATATTGTGCTACATATTACTTAAATGTACTTCAGAGACGGAACTTCGCTCGGCGTTTTTCGGAAAAGGTATAAATATTGCGATTCCTTCAGAAAATACACCTTTGTAGATATATAGAAAATTTTTAAAGGCAATACCTTATCTAAATAGAAAATTTGATCAAAATTATTAGAGCCGTTTCCTAGATACACCAAATGAATATATATACATACATATACAAAGAATTGCTCATTTAATATTATAAGATAGGATGGCATGTACCCGCGTTGAAGGGCTGGTTTCTGAACATGGCACCCGAAAAGCAGTTTATAGCTTAAAAAACTTTTCACCATCCACTTTTGAAACTTTCACTCTTTGGGATGAGTTTAAAAAAATCTTTATGACATCGAAAAATTTCAGATTGAGAGTCTAAGAGATTAGAATACTTATAAGTCGTGGACGAATGTAAATAAAAAAAATCTAACATTTTTATTCACCTTCACATTTTTTTACTGAAAGACATAAGTCTACTTACTATTAGAATAGCACTTTAAATGAAATAAATAAAAATAAACTACTTTCGTTTATCATCCATGACAGTTGACACATACATTTTTAAAAATCTAGAAAAGAATGTTGCCATAACTACGTTGTATTTGTATAAATCAAATTAATAAATAATTATTTTTAATACCTACATTATTATTGCCTCTTTAATTCATATAATAATAAATATTTATATTTTATATTATATTGAATAATGCTAACATAACTTTCAGTTCAGAAAAAAAAATCTCTATCCTGAGAAGAACTATCCAAAGAAACTTAGCAAATAATATAAAATATTAGTTTTATTTGAGTGTATATATCGGACATTTATTATATTTGAGAAAGTTTGTACGTGTGATATACAGACTATGAACTATGGGGAACTCGCTAAGTGTAATACACATGTTTCTGGTAGGCTTATGTATATAGCCTTTTTTATCGTCCCACTGATAGGCATGGGCCTTTCTTTAATACAAGGGAATCAGGCCATACTCTACCATGGTGGCCAAGTGCGGACGGACTTCACATGTACAAGTATTTCGAAAACCTGCTGGGATCTCTCAGATATGTAGGTTTCCTCACGATGTTTTTCTGTACTGTAAGACAAGCGGTAATCATGTTGAAAAATGATTCTTACATGAAAATCAGAGGTGCGAGATCGGGGATTTGAACCCGCTACCACTGCCTAATGGCTTAATTGTTCAAAATGTTCTTAATTGTTTAATGTTCGAAAGTATAATCTCAGTAAAAAGACATAACAGATTTTGAGAGCGCCAGTAAAAAGAAAACAGCAAGTCATAGTTCCAGTGACTACTCCGGAAATTATATTATAGTATGCATTTTATCCTGACATTTTGATTGATTGAAATTTTCGCATACGTTATATTAGAAGCTCTATAATAAGTAAATTTGACGAGTTCTAGTAACATAGGTTGTATATCCATACTTAATATTATAAATGTGAAAGTGTGTTTGTTTGTTTGTTCGTTTGTTTGTTTGTTCGTTCGTTTGTTCGTTTGTTTGTCCTTCTTTCACGTCGAAACGGAGTGACGGATTGGCGTGATTTTTTGTGTAAAGATAGTTGGAGGGCTGGAGAGTGACATAGGCTACTTTTTAACGCGGGAGTTTACCTAAATCCACAGGAAAACACTTTATAGTACAATCCAAAAAAATATTTTTCATCAGAATTACTTGAAACTTGGTATTAATGCTCTTCAATAAAGTTAAATAAATATGTGTTTTAGTAATTTTCGAAATTCATCCCTTAAAGGGGTAAAATAGAGGATGAAAGTGTTTATGAAACTACCTTTTTGCTTGCGTATTTATTTTACTATTGTTGTAGGTTACTCCTGTAGACCGATCATTAATTTATAGTTTTAATTCCACATTAAAGTTACTAAATTTAAAAATTATCGCTCAATCTCATTCGTGTCTTCCTCACAAAACGTGACACTGGCAGAATGGATTGCGTCTGTTAACGCAACTATAAGCCTATATAAAATATATATATACAACAGGAAAAAGCTTCATGAAGCAACAAGTTTTTAGAATGGTGCCAAAAACAACAGCCGAAAAATGCTAAATTAATATTAAAAAAATATAATATAAAAAAAATTGAACACAGTTTTTTTTATTGATTTTGCTGAATCTCGACAATTGCGCGAATACTAGTTCTTATTAATGTTCCTATCCTATACATATAAATAAAATTGAAGTGCGATGAAGTTGCGATGTCAAAATTACAGGTTTTAACAAATAACAAAATAGGCTAGGGTAGGCTGTCTGTAACAACTATACATTCAAGACATGTAACACCTCAGTCTCTCCCGTGACCATGGATGCTGTAAAGCATTCGAAACGTCGGGAAACAAAAATCCAAATAAATCCGCGACAAAATCCGAAAAGATAGTTTTATTTAAAATGTCAAATATTCGCGTAAATCTAAGAAAGTATTATTGGATGGATGTTTTTTACTCAATCACACCAAAACGGCTACACGGATCTGTATGAATGCTGAAATTTGGCTAAATATATATAATTATAATACTATGGAATAGCATATAGGTTATATATATATAATTATGAAAAGCAAAAAATCATGTAAATAAAAATACCTATTTGGAGCTAAGTTTACATTCGATATGACGTTTTATATAGTTTCTAATTTCCATTCAAAATATTATGTTTTGATAAATCAACAATACACAAATAAAGTACTAGTGGTATAGGTTTTATAGGTCAAGGTATGATTAGATTGGGGTCGCAGGTTTAAATCCCTGTGGGATATTTTTGCTTAATATGATTATTAGCCCTAGTATATGGCCTTTGTCGATGGGCCATATCTTATCGAAATTATTCGATAAGACATGGCAGTAAGTTTGATGCTTTATAAAAATATAAATAAAATCATTAATCATTTCTAGGAAAATTAATTAGGTACTGAATAATTTCGTCGAAAAATACAATAAACTAAATAAATGCCGGATGCAATTCTGTACAACTTTGCCGGATATCATTTTTTTTATTATAATTATTTTATTAGGCCAGAATACTCAAAATAGTATTTATTTAGTAAGTTATACCTATATTACAGTTTATAGATGTTCGATGCACATCCAATACCACACGTATTAATCAAAATTCTCAATGAAATGAAGTCAAAAATTCAATTAAATGGGACTTTAATTAAAATTCATGAAATGCTAACCTTTTCCCGGATACGTTGTGCTCGACCTTCCCAATTCCCGCAACAAATTTACTAAAATTATATTTTTGTGATTTTAAACCTTATATTATAGTGCATAAAGGTTATTATAAGTGTAGAGTATTGTGTTTTAATAGGTACCAAAAATGCACATGCGTCGGAACGGCGGGCCTACTCCGTAGAGGCTCTACGAGCAGACGGCGCTCGACCGCCACACTAGACACGCGTAGACCCGCTGCGGTGCTACGCCACACTTCTACGGAACTTTTAATACTTTTCTAACTTTTCAATTTATTTGTGTGCGGTGTTTTTATTTGCAGACGTTTGGTGTGTAGTTTATAATGACTTGAATATGGCTCCGTTAAGAGTGCTAAGTGATTTTACTGATGACTTTCAAAACTTTTCGACGCAGCATCCCGGAGAGCGTCATCATTTGAGGCACAGGAATCACTCGCGGGACCATTCGAGAAATCATTTCGTAGATGTCATATCTAATTCCATAATGGAGGCTATTAATACTAAATTTGTGCCAGAGAACAGCGTGTTGCCAGATATGGAACCGCTCTCGACTCATATGGATGGAGAAAGGCATCCTTTGAGGATGAATATTACCATGAACAGATCTGATCTGGGTGTGATTGAAAACGAATTCATGTATAGACATAGTGGGGCAATGACCGCGGTATACTGTGTGGCGTATTTACTTGTTTTCATAGTGGGTCTGGTTGGGAACTGTTTCGTGATCGCGGTGGTGTACCGCTCGCCCCGAATGAGAACTGTAACTAACTTTTTCATAGTGAATCTCGCCGTTGCTGATATATTGGTTATCGTTTTCTGTCTGCCCGCCACTCTGATGTCCAACATTTTTGTCCGTGAGTAGTTTTAAATTTAATAAATTTGCATGCTAAATTAGATTAAGAGTAGAAAAATTATTTATTCAGTCCTAAACAAAATTATGTTAATTATTATTGGAGGAAGTCACGTTACGTAATATGCATAATTAAATCTCTTCCAGATCAATACATTTTTATAAATTATGACCGAATTTTGACAGTAAATAAATACAAAGGTATGATTTAAAGTAATAATTTGAACATTTCTATATATTTTGGTATAAATAATACAAATAAAAATAATTAAATTGTTTTAAACAGTATGTTAAAGTAACAAAAATTTTCACTTAACCTATTTATCCACAAGTCACGAACAGAAATGAAAAAGAAATTCGATTATAACGAGCGGCGTAAATAAATCGGGAGGCTAACTTATCAATCTGTGAATTAATGAACATTTCCTATATAGTTCCAGAGGTTTTTCTCGACCTGCAAATATTTTATTTAAAAGTAGATGTGTAGTAAAATATTTCATTCCATTTCAAATAATTAACATTAAAAGCTGAAAGCTGCATTAATTTTATTAAAAAAAAAGTATAAAACAAACGTTACACAGTGTAAAAGTCCAAAAATTTGTTAAAAGATCGTCTGCATAAAGTTCTGCAGCAAGAATTTCAAATATTATGTTTTACATATTTTTACATCTTATCAGTTAACGTCGTATTTACGACGCAACCATCTAGATTTTTATACACGAAATACAACGAATATTCCTAGCGGGAAAAGTTATTATCTATTACTAGTGAACGCATTCGACTGAGTAAGTTGTAAAATATTTTACAGCCTTAAAAATATTGTTGAATTATGTTATTTTCTTGTTAAAATTAGAATTTATTCAAACAGTAAAACATTTACAGTGTTTTTATAATATAAACATTATTATTTTATATATTTACATATTTATTATATACAATAAGATTTTCCAAAAAATATTCAATGTACAGATTCGGCTTAGTTACGATTTTATTATACGTATAGATGTATTTACATAGAACTTTAACTAACTAATATCAATGTGTAATAGATTGTATGGTTTTTAATACGAAACCCAAACATCAATTATTTTTTGTATCTGTCCATTTGAATATACTTATATCTGGAAAGGCTGTAGCGATTTTAAAGAAATTTAGTTAACAGGAATGAGGTCTAAAATAAGAACTATCTGTTCGAATTTAGCATGATTTAGGCTATTTTTATCGACGTGGCACAATAACAGCGGATAAAAGCCATTATTTTGTATAAATAAATAATAAATAAATGTTGGGTCATTAACACACAGCCCCATCTAGTTCCATGGTAAGCTACGAGGCTTGTGTTATGTATACCAGTTAGTTGATACACTACACATATATAACTTTAAATACATACATATTATAAATATAAACACCCATGACTGGAGTACAAACATTCGTGCTCATCACACAAACGAATGCCCCCAGCGGAACTCGAACCCACGACCGCTGGCATAGCAAGTAAATTTCTTAAATAATTATGTCTTCCAAATTAAACTTAGTTCCTTTTGTAATGATGTTATTAGCACTTGGAACTTGTTTGTACATTTAACTCCAAGTCCAGACGACACGTAGAGAGCAGTCGTAATATCCGACTTCTAATAGCAAACGACATCGGCCGGTAATTTCCTGCACTTGTTTTAATTAGTTGCCACGCACTTAGAAGAGTAAACATTGTGTTAATGTTGAGCACTTCCAATTTTATTGTAATAAAAGTATGAAGTATAAAATTGTATTTATATAAAACTTGTTAAAAATTGTATTGTATTTTGTAAAGCAGGAATGTTACAGTATAACAGTTGATTCCTATTCAATATCAAAAATCTTTATTTAATAATGGTTATTCGAAAATACACACTGTGTATGCCATAAACTTCACCAGCAGTTCGGAAAAATTGCCTCAGGACTGGGAAGAACTGCTGAAAGCTGAGCTTCAGCAGTCCTTTTTTTAATATAATAGCCTGGAAGTCGATCGAATCATTGCCTAGATGTACTATCTTCTAGAAAAATATTATTTATAGCCGTTAGCGTTTAATAACGTTGTTTACCATTTTTTAACCTTCGACGCAAAAAGAAGGGTCTTATAAGTTTGACCGCTATGTATATAATATGTGTGTGTCTGTCTGTGCCACCGTAGCTCTTAAGGCGAGTGAACCGATTTGGATACGGTTCTTTTTATTTGAAAGCAGGTTTTATAGCCGTGCTTTTTATTCAAGTTTTATCAAAATCGCTTCAGCCGTTTTTGTGTTTGTGATCTTTTAAATTTTAATCAAAAGTTCATTATTTAAATCTTTTTAAAAATAGCAATAGGAGCTTTTGGAGAGTTATCTGGGAGTGCGTCTTATGTTTATCCTTTTGATGTACATTTATATTATTTTTTTAACTAATATAATAATATTCTGTGAAAAAAAAAATCAGCATCGACTTCTTGATACAATATAAAAGATACATTCATTTAAGTAGGACAGACGGCTGGACTGCTAATGGTATAGTAATGGGGTTATGTCTGAACCCTTTAGAAACAATGTCAGACTATAACCCATAATATTTGTGCCTAATTTAGACTAAGAAGTACCTTAGGGAAAGTTTTTAATAGCTATTATTACTTTAACACCATTTCGTTTTAAAGTTGAAAAGTTTTCCGCAATGTAAAAGTTCCTTTTTAACCGACTTAAAAAATGTGTAAATCAACGGAAATTTTTGAATATGTGTGTGTTCTGCTGAATGTATCTCCGTTTGAGTGTGATGAAGATCCATCGTTAAGCTAATAATTAATTTTTGGGTAATTTAATTAAGTACAGTGCTTCTTTTTGCATACTATATAGAAAAATCGTTAGATATACCTCGATCTTGACCTCGATATACTCGTATAATAATACTTAATTACTAGATACTAGTGACTTAACAAAAGCTCCCAGTCGGCATGACTTTTTCTGACATATCCAACAACCATCGCCATATTTCAGCTAATTTACACAAAATCTTAATAAATTATACATTTAAACCTTTCTCATGAATCACTCCGTCTATTGTTGAAAATTGTATGACAATCCATTCAGTATTTTTGGAATTTATCACGTTCAAACAGACAGACATATTTATTTCATAATATTTAGTGATTAAATTACAGTACATCTATACATATAATAAAATTGTAACAAAGTCGAATCTGTACATTAAATATTTTTTGGAAAATCTAATTGAAATAGACATTATTATCGATACAGAGTCCGAATATATAGTTTTTAGAATTTTTGTCTGTCTGTCTTTCTGTCTGTCTGTTTGTCTGTTACCGCATCACGAGAAAACCACTGGACAGATTTTGATGAAATTTGGTATGATGATAGCTGGTTATCCGGGTCAACATATAGGATACTTTTTACCGCGGGAAAATATCTCATTTCTGAGAAAAAATACAAAAACTTCATTGTAAGAATATGTAAAGCCTAAAAATTTGGTTTTTGATCATCTGAACGCGGGCGGAGCTGCGTTGCAATTCTAGTAGATAATAAGAACATATTTGACGGGCAAAGTTCAAAATATTACAACTATGAAGAAAAAGCAATATATTTTTTTACATTTCAGTAATAATTAAGTTTTCAGTAATTTTATATTTAATTAATATTTAGGTATACTAAAACACCTTTCATTAACAACAAAAACACATCTAAACCATATGGTTATCCTTATTCCCATGTTTTCGAAGAATACACAGGATCTACTACTAAAATAGTACTGTTCAATACGTCTTTATTTTAGTACATTTTCAGACGTGAGAAAACTTTGTTATTATTTACTGAATCCTGATACCGCTATGACGTGCGGGATTGTGAGAGCTTATAATTCTATAGGAATAGTTTCCACGTGCACTTTAATGGTTTTTATCTTCGTAAAGAACGCTAATTGGCTATGTGTGGATAAATATGAGTAGAGTGGGTTCATTTCGTTTCATAACTCAAGCTTATTTATTACTAGCTAATTATGTTTTAAGGTTTAGTATAGATTTCTTAGAGATGAAATATTTTCCCGCAGTAAAAAGTATCCTATATGTTGCCACGGATAACCAGCTATCATCATACCAAATTTCATCAAAATCTGTCCAGTGGTTTTCTCGTGATTCGTTCTCAGACAGACAGGCAGATAAAAATTCTAAAAACTATAGATTCAGCCTCTGTATCGATAATAATGACTATTTCAATAAGATTTTTAGACTCAGATCTTAATTATATGTATAGATTTCAAAATGATAACTATTGGGGTGTTACGGCACAATTGTTACGTGATATTGTTTAACTAATTACGGGGTTCGATTTCGGCGTTGGCATAGTGATGTTTTAAGCAAATATTATAGATGTGAAAGCTTTCGAGAAAATCTAGAAAAATATATGGCAAAATTGAATAAAATAAGGATTAGTCATTTTACGAGTATGAAATTGTAGAATTACATTATGTTCAAGCTCGGATTGATATACATATAAGTTACTTTTTATTAAAGCATCTTTGCAAGCAAATACGGGGTAAAAAAACTCTTTAGTAATATTTACGCTATACGTATATTTAAAGTAAGAATTTTTAAACAGGATATTGGGAAGCCTAAATATCCTCCAAAGAAAAAGAAATTTGATATTTTGAAAGTTAATAGGTACATTTTAAACATTCTTAGATATTTTATTTGACTAATATAAGTTTATTTTATTAAATAATACAATATAATGGAAAATACATTTTAATATACTACTAGCAGTACCCGCGGTTTCGCCTGCATTCTAACTTCCAATCGCTAACAAACTTCACAGGATCACTCGCAGCTAATCTGAAAATTACCTGAAAATTTTATCAAAATGGCTTCAGCCGGTTTGGAGTCCATATTAAACATACATATACACATCGATTTTTATATACGTAGATTTCAACCGATTTCAAGAATTTAATGGTAAATTAAAAATATAGTTAAATAAGGCATATAAGGTATT